AAGAAAAGAGCGCGATTTAAGAAAAGACAAAGAAAAAATACAATGATTGACAATGTTAGAGAATATTTCAACGGAATGCCTGTCTTCTAGTTATATTTAAAATAATAAATATAAAATGAAGAAAACAGACGTACTGTCTAAATGAGTTTTTTCGTTTTCTTTTTCTTTCCTTAAATCGCGCTCTTCTCTAAAGTTTTGAAAACTATTGGAAGAGTTACATCAACCATTTTGTTTCTTTAATAATAATAATAATCAACAACAAAAAACAACAAATAAATAATAATAATAATAATAATAATAATAACAATAATCAACACCGAAGAACAAAGAAATAACTAGTAATCAATAATAATCAATAATAAATAACAAATAAATAAATAAATAAATAATAATAATAATAATAATAATAATAACAATAATCAACCGCAAATAACAAAGAAACGGTAATAATAATGTTGCAATTTTGGCTAATCCTCGTGACCAAAATGTTGTAACCTAGAGAAGGTTACTGAATAGAATAATCAAACGAAGGTTGGTAATGAACGATAATACTTAGGACAAGAACAACACGTATAAGATTCGCCAGCGGCGCGTAGAATAGTAGTCAACTTCAAGAAGTCAATCAAGTGAAATACACAATGAATCTTCAAGTGCAGGATATCTACCAACGCCCTATGCGGTCAAATATAGCACAAGGCCGAATTTAATGTATCCGAGGTATCCAAGCCCATAGGCTCGGCCAAAATTTCCCCGTAGAACCCGTATAAAACGGGGTCTGGTAGTTGTTTCCCGAGACGAGACTCTGCTTTTTGACATAGCCTCGTCTGGGGGTCATCTCTTCCCGGAGGCAGAGAGTTTGACCAGCACAGCTGGAGACGAATCTCCAACTGCAGGATATCTATCAACCGCCCCACACGGTCAGATGTGGCACAAGGCCGAATTTAATGTGGTCTATCTGAGCATGTAGGTTTGGCCAAAAATTCCCCGTAGACCGCATATAAAATGGGGTCGGGTAGTTCTTTCCCGAGACTCTGCCCTTCGACATAGCCTCGTCTGGGGATCTTCTCTGCCCGGAGGCAGAGCGTTTGACCAGCACAGCTGGAGACGAATCTCTGACTGCAGGATATTTATCAACCGCTCCACGCGGTCAAATGTGGCACAAGGCCGAATTTAATGTAGGGTATCCGACCCTGTAGGCTCGGTCAAAATTTCCCCGTAGACCGCATATAAAACCGGGTCGGGTAGATGTTTCCCGAGACGAGACTCTGCCCTTCGACATAGCCTCGTCTAGCAGAGAGTTTGACCAACACAGCTGAAGACGAATCTCCGACACGTACAGTATTCACTATTGTATTTATGGAAATGGGAGCATATCCATTATCGTCCCTAGGTATTCTACAGCAACAACAAATAGTAATAATAATAATAATAAATAACAACAAATAATAAAGAAATAAGTAATAAAAGATAAAATGTTAAGAAACCACATTATAAAATAGCTGCAAATAACCGCATTCACATCCGCAAGGATTCCTGCAGATTAGCCTCTAGAATATTTCGTAGCATAAATGTTATCGCCCGTCTAATATCCTTTAGGATAATGCAACGGACCTTGCTACTCATAATGCCCAATCAACCAGCATATATGAATATCCGAGACAAAACACAAGACACATGGCCTCAAGATTGCGTCCAATTTTGTATCTACATACGCTCTATCCATGATATTGAGCACCTTTACCCATAAATAAAGCATGCCATATTTTTGAATGATATCGAGATTCTGAACATACTTTTCAGGGTTTATAAATTGTTTTGGTTGTTATTTGAATCCTTGTTTTCACGCTGTCCGCTGACATGTGGTGGAATAAATCTATTGAATCAATAGCTTCATCTATCGCTAGGAAAGTAGGATCTATGTGTTGCGGGAGAAGGTTTTTCTCGTCTGAATCCATCCTTCAAATCTATCAATAAACCATCCGTCCTTGCATGGAATATTGCTGTCATATATGGACTGGTGGCCCGCTGTACCTCTCGAGGTCTTCGACAAAATCCAGTGACGAATATGCAATGTGATATGTCCTGATCTGTCATCTATTATGCAGTCGCTTTCTCACAGACGTGCCGTGGCTTCCCTCTGTCTCTTCTTCTATTTTCACGGTAACTGTTCCAACAAGCCACTTTCGCCGGTTCACTGACAAAACGGTTAAATGTAACCGAATCTTCTACTGAAACAGCTTCTTCTCCCGACTGTGGAACTCCTTTCTCCTTACTTGCTTCCCCGATAACTATAATCTTCAAATATTCAAGTGTAATGTCAATTGACATCTTCTGATACCTTGATCTTGGTTCTCGTCTTTCTCTGTATCCTTTCCTTAAACACGCCTCTTCACTCTTGTTCTCAATCCTCTGAAACCCCTTGCGTGCTAGTGGCACTCCCGCCTTGCTTGGGATGAATTGCTTAAAAAACAAAAAAAACAAAAACAAAATAAAATAAATGAATTTGCTACATTGCCGGAGAATTTTGGTTCTTTCATTGAACTTATACAGGAAAAAGGAAAGTAAAACTCGGAAAAGTGGAAAATTAGATAAACAAATAATAAATAGGGAATATTTCCTAGTTAAGGTAAACGAGCCTAACGCAAGAAAAAATAACACAAAATATATTTAACTGAAGTTGTAGTGATGACAATTTCTCAGCAGTAGAAAAACCCTAAACAGTTACTTTAAGATTGTCTTTTCTGTTAGATCGATCCACACGGCACAATCGTTCATAACTCATCCACCATATTTTAAAGTTAGAGGAAGCACAAGCCCTAACTTTAAACCCACACCCAACCTTAAGCTTTGGTTTGCTTTGGTTTGTATGGATTTACAGCATATCAATCTCAATGGGTTATTTAATGCTGACAATATTTTTAGGATAGGTTCGTATGAATAGAATATGTATTCTTTGTAAGAAATCAGCTATCAGATCAGGATTCATTGACGTATGCCAGTAAAGAGGGGTTTTGTCGAGAGTTTGGTTTGAGTTATTTGATTTTACGGCATATCAACCTCAATGGGTTATTTAATGCCGACAAGATTTTTCTGAAGAAGTCCGGAGGGTACAACGGCCGAAACGTTGTAATAAATATGGCGACAAAAATGAGGACAATAGTCCGAATAATGTATATAATGAACTTTCAAGAAGTTTACACGGAGGCCGCTAGGCGGCGCATTGACTTCTTCATACCCCGATAAGGGATGCATTCTGGAGAATTAAAGCGCTCCTCCTGTTATCAGTCATGTAAGGAACGTCTGTTCATTATTGATGACCTGTGAGACTAGGATCAGTTTTCACCCGAGATAAGACAGATTTTTGACATATACGATAGAAGGCTGAATCCTGTGGCCTCAATGAGAATAATCTATCTGACTGCAGTGATTTAACAGTTTGTTAAAATTAGGCGTCAAATTGCTTGTAACAATTATTTGGCGTTGCTTGGCAACTTTTTCTTTCAAATTTACTAACATTTGGCGGGCCGCATGAATTCTTTTTGGCGGGCTGCATGTGGCCTGCGGGTCGTAGTTTGATCACCCCTGCTCGAGATCATCCTTCAAGAATGTCATGAACCTACGTCCGATTTGATTAATTGTTGCATAATCTCTAGTCATTCTTTCCTTCTCAACATTTTCTTCCTCTATTATATCTTTCATGGCCGTCGGCATAAACATTTTGGCTACGGAAAATTCGATGTTTAAGCGTATTACGATCTGTAGTCATTTTGTTACGTCTATGGCAGCTTCTGCATTATTTTCTACGACGATTTCATGGAGGTCGTTTTAAATAATTCGGTCAAGGAAGTTTCGATGATTAAGCGTAGAACATTCTGTTGCCACTCTTCTCTCTCGTATGAGATGCTACTCCAGTTTTCATGGACGCCATTGTATACCCTTCCTATATGAAAACATTTATCATTAAATGGAGAGTAATCTGTAGTTATTCTCCAATCTTTCTTACTTTACGCAACTTTCCTGGACGCCATGATAAACATTTCGTCTACGGAAACTTCAATGATTAAACATTAAACAATCTTTTAATTTGTCTTCCATTTTATAGTCTATTATTTTCCTCCGATCCTGGATTATTTAAACTTATAAGTGTTATTTTTTAAATATTTTATATTTGTCATGTTCATTAATAATATTTTCCCATATTTTTTCCGTTTTATCATTGCTTTCTACCACAACATTATTACTTTTATTCGAAACATTATTATTTTTGTCACAATATTATTAGTTTTCATCACAATATCATTATCACGTTATTACTTTTCGAAACAGCATTATTAGCGTGATTTCTCGAAAATAGTACGCTCCCATAAATAATACGCACCCCAACAAATGACCGAAAAATTAAGAAATATATCTATCCCTATCGACTATAAATTTTGTCAAAAAAAAAAAAATAAACGAAGACATTATGTCGACCTTGACATTAAGAATCAAATCGAAAGTAAGCGGCTAAAATAATATTGAAAAAAACCATCGCGGTTTTCCCGGTAAATATAACATTTTATTTTACCTCCAAAATGTCGTCAAAACGTGTGGGTTATAGTGCAAATTTTAAA